CTGAGGCCAATGTTCCACTCGTATTCTTATACAGTTAGTGTTGCTCTCTGCATGGTGCATTCCATTGTGCTACAGTTGCCCGTGGTGGTTCAAATCGTGATGTCATCGGCGTACAGTGAGTGTCGTGGGGCCGGTATGGTAGCTAATTTTTGCGAGAGGGAGATCATAGTTATATTTAAGAGGAAAGAAGAGAGGACGGCCCCATGCGGAGTGAACCTACTTCTGAGGTTGAAAGTCAGTGGTTTAACCGATCTTAGGTGTATTTCGATGGTTCTGTTTGTCAAAAAGGCCGCAACATATGTACAAGTGTGGGAACTCACGTTGGGCTGACTAAGGTTCTTTATAATAGTGGCATGCCGGATATTGTCGAATGGTTTAGTCAAGTGTCATTATTGCTCCTGTGTAACGAGGGAAGTCGAGATTTAGTACTCCTTTTTGAGCTGAAACATCACATTTTTCACGGAAAGCCCTACCCTGAAACCAAATATAGTAGGAGGGAAGAGGTGATTTGTCTCCATGAATCTCTTAAGGGAAATAAGAGTGACGTGTTCCATACGTTTGCCTGCACACGAAGTGAGGAATATGGGGCGCAAGTTACCTAGATCGAGTGGTTTGTCTGGCCTTGTGATGTATGTCACTGGCACGTTTCCACTAGGGGGGTAGTGTGCCTTGTTTCCAGTGCTCGTTAAAATACGCCGTAAAAACCTTAACTGAGCCTGCGTCCAGGTTGCATAGCAATTTGTTGGTGACGTGATGAGGTTCTGGAGGTGAGAAGGTTCGCAGCTGATTTAATGCAGCCCCAACCTCTGTCTCCGTTATGAGACGGTATTTATATTGTTTGTGATGTCCCCTATATTCTGACATGGACTCAGTCGCGTGCTGCGAAAAGTAAGTATGAATTAGGGTTTGTAGAATGTCCATTCCGCACTACATTCTGTGAATTAGTCGAGTTTCAGCCTTCGATTTTGATGGTTCTAATAAGTGACGTATAAAGACCAAGTTTTCTTAATATGATGGCTGCTATCGAGCCAATTGCATAACTCTGTCCGTTGTTGAGAAACAAGATTATTGGCGTGCTCTCTGATGAGATCGAACGTCATCGACCTGTGATGCTGGAATGTGCGGTTCTGGTTTTGCCTAAGCTAGCATATTCTACACTCTGATAAGCCTTCCATAAGGGCATCGAACGGCTATCAACCGGCTCGTTTGCGTGCTCAGTTGGTGCTTGTTCAGTCGCTCATTCCAGATGTTTTTGAACCATGCAACCCATGATCATAGTCAGAAATATAGGTAGCCCGTTTCAGCGCGCAAAGTTTTCTAAATTGATCCCAGTCAGCCATAGCTTTGAGCTGGTATCATGGTCTAAGTTTTCCAGCCTCAGCTTGACGTCAACTATATAGTGACATCTGCCTAGGGTGAGACCAGTGTTCTTCCATTGTTGCTGAGTTATGTTCTCAACAATCGTTGAATCTAGACATGCGTCCCTGCTAACGCTGTTTTCTATGCGGGTAGCTTGCATGGTATCCGTCGCAAGAGATAGTCGGTGTTGTCTGATGAAGTTGTTGAGATGTCATCATTTAACGGAAGTGACCCTATATCCCCATTCGACATGTGAGGCATTAAAATCACCTACAAATACTATAGGCACGGTGCCTGCGAGAGAGAGGGCTCGCGCTAGCGCGTGCAACAGGTCAGCTGCTTTGACATGAATTAAGTGGAAGATGGAGCATTGCCTGGCAGGAGCTCAAGGAAGACGCTGTAAGAATACATATCAAAGAGGTCATAGGTAACATGTGCAATGTTACGATGTATATAAGTGGTGACGCATAGGGTGGGAGAAGTTTGCGGCTCTAGAGTGTGATATCCTGTTAAATTGCAACATTTGTTTGGTGCCTATACGGCGAGGACATCTAGCACTGGTGTCACCTGCTGCAGGTGTATAAATGAGCTATCATTTTTGCGCTGTAGGTCTCTACAATTTTATTGCCATATCCTGAATGGTTGAGGGAATAGGGGCTCATTGGAAGGCAAGAAGATATCATTAGGTGGGAGAAGGTAATGGAGGGGGCTCGGGGAGCGAATATTAGTCGTTAGGTCTGTAGTAACCTGTTTAACACGAGCAAACAGTTCCGCGATTTGTGTGAATCTGCGATGCACTCCATGTTCCACTCTTATGCTCCTCAAGACCTTGAGCTGATGCGTCGAACGCATTGTGCGTGATTTCTAGAGGATGGTTTTTTTTTTATTGTATGGTCATGAGCTAGCGATTGATTTGGATTCGAATGATCACTTGAGTCTGCGGGAACAGTCATGAATTTCTACTGGTTCTTGCACTCAGTGGGTTGGGCAAATTCGCTATGTCTGAGTGCATTCAAACGTTCGGGGTATAATAAGATTTGTTGTTTCAGGTCATGATTTTCCTTTGTGAGGCGGTCTATAGTGAACTGATAGTAGATATACCCGGAATCTGAGTGACTGCTGCAGCCACGGGAGATGCCACATACGCAGTTTACCTTTTGCTGGTCTTGGTTCACCATTGGCGTCACTGGAGGTGTGCGCTGTATAATACTCTTACTTCTGGTTTGTTCATCGGTTGTAGACTTATATGCAGGGAATGAAGTCTTGTCGATGTGAATCTCAGGCATGTCCTGAGGTTGCTGTGGGGTGAAATTTCTTCCCCATAGGGTTTTGCCACGCTGGTATCGACGGCGGCAAAGTCTGCCGCTGGTCTAGTGAGCTCCACCGCAGGCAATGTAACAGTGGGGTAGCACTTCTTGTCGGCCTGGTGCGGCAGTTCGTAGTCAAGGCACCGGGAGTGCATCGTTTCCGGGTAGACATTTCTTTGATGCCCCCTGCGTCAGCAATTTGCACAGACCTCCACTTGGGGCCTGCAGGAGTAGACTCCAAAGACATCTGGAAAACTTCACTGACTCTGGAAGAGCGTCGGACATGAACTGGATCAGAACTGACCTTCATGTGCGGCTCATGTCCCGAGCCTACACAGTTAGAAAGCAGCGGATCAGATCGCTGTAGTTCCTGAAAGATCTCCTGAGGGGTTTTTTTATTATATGCTTGATAGATAATACATTCGATAGCCTGATCTGGAGGTGCGATATAGGCGTTGACTACAATTGGCTTGCCGCGGAGAGTGATCCAACGTATCTGTGCGTACTTGGCCGCTCTCTCATGGGATGCTGTTGACATTGTGAAAACATTCTTCACCAGAGTGATGCGTGTGAGGTCACCCTCGGGGCTCGACTATGCAAGGCTGCTACTTTTGAGCAACGTAGCCCGCGACTCTCACTCTTTGAACGCTGCCATGTTGATGCCAGCGTTTGAGCGATAAGTAACATTAAAATCATCCGTCGGTAGCTGTGGCATCAGCCCGTGTCTAAGGCGTGCCGCGAACGCTTTGGTGCCTATTTTCTCCACTCGCGTCCTGACGGAGTCTTGGTGGACGAGTTACGGCTGGGCAGCCAAGCAGGCGTTTTTTTTTGCTTGGAAAAGCACGTCGGTCTTGGATTTCTGCTTGCAGTGCTCCTGTCGCGCATTAAATACTTCTTTTCACTCATCCATATTAAACGCAGAGGGCTGAAGCTCTGAGCCTCTGACTGTGTACTCTATGGTGGTAGCAGACTGTGGCGGAGCGCGAGTTCCTGTCGTTAACGCTGATGGCGTTAGGGTTAGCGGGCCGGCACTCACTCTTCACTAAGCGAAGTCAATTCAAAGGGATTGGAGATCCGGCGAAGCTCAAACACTCACAAGTAATCACGCTTATGAAACTGTCCCTTCAGCACCGAAGTTCACGTAAAAAACACTCACAGAGCTTGTTCAAGTTGGAGCCCATGCAAGGAACGTCCGCCTTGATCGACCACTAGCGGTAATCTGCAATAAGGGGAACTTCAGTGTACCAGTTATTTGTTAAACAATGTTCTAGTTACAAAGAAGAGATAATGAAGCTTGTTAAAAACGGGTGATAACATAAATAGAGAGAAGGTAAAGTGGATAAAGAAAAAAAAAACTTGTGTAGGTAGGAGCTGCATTTGCCAGTTTTGAATAACGTGGCTATGATTCGCAATTCAAAGAATGCACAGAGAACACTACATATAATAGAAGGTTACAGTTCCAGTCTCTGCTGGCGGCAAGCTGTCTTTTCGTGCGCAATAAATTATTCTCCTTTGAACCACAATTACAACAAATAGCCTTTCCTGTACTTATCTTGCCTTGATTGCCTGTTTGTCATAATTATTATTCGTTCGGAAGAAATTTGTAGTGCATTTTTTACACAAAAGTAATGGAATCGTGGGCTTCGTACCCGCAGGTTAGTTATTGACGGCAGCTATTTTGAAAAAAAAGAACTATGGCAGATCACGAGCCCCAGAGGGATCGATGTAATGCGAAAAAGCCCGAAAAGAGCGCTCCACGTGTAGGTCTATCCCACATAGAAAGCAATACTTTCTTTTCATGTTACCACTTGGTATAAGTGTTTACAATACAGTCACGGCACGCAGCACCGCAAGCCTCTTATGACACCATGACATGCACGTTATCAATTTAATGTTACTACGTGGTCACAAACTTTGCGTTAAAGTCATGTCCCACAGCATGAATTTTGGTGTAATCAAACGCGTGAAAGGATCGCGCGCTTGCCATAAGCATTGCATGTAAATCATGCTCTGCATGGCATGTAGATTATTATTCTCTCATTGCAACCTGTCATAAACTCCAATACACAGGGTTGGGTGCCGATCCGTAGATTGATAGAAAGATCTAGATGAGCCGCCGCAAAAGCTCCGCGTACGCACCCTGCCATGAAAAATGTCTGCAATGCTGCATCCGTGGAGCTAAGACACCCAAATAAACCTGCATAATGATGGCCAAACAAGTAGCTCATTCCCTCTTCCTACCAGAAAAGGGCAGTTATAAACGGAATGAGCATGCGTGGAGAAGGTGTTCCTACTGCTTATTCTAAAGCACAGTTATTTGATCACGTCTTCTAGGGGGAGATCATAGTCACGAGGTGCATCGGTTCGTGGTTTCTGTTGGACAGCCTCTGATCTTCGACGAAGCTCGCACCTCCTGCCGTCCTGACAAGTACCTGCTGAATCTACAAGCAGCCGTGAATGTGTCCCATGTGCCAGCGATGCTACAGCGGCATGGTGAGAATAGTGAACGTTAAACTTCGTAGGAATATTTACCAGCAACGCTAGAATGTTAAAAAAAGCTTACGTTATTGACGCAAAAGACCGTTAGACGGAAAATGTTTTCTTAGAACGAACAGTAAATAAAACCAAAAGTGAAAAATATAATGACAGCGCTTTGATAAAAGAGGGGACTTTATTGTAAGGACCTGCTTCCAGGGCCAACACACTCGATCTCTATTGAAAGGACCGAATAGGCCCCGAAACGCCTGGCCCTCTACGAACTTGGCTGGAGCCTTTTAAATTTTATTGATCTTTCACCCAGGTAGACAGTTTTATGTCCAAATGTTTACATTACAATTAGGACGTCTTGAGGGGCTAGTTGGTTCATTATATACAGCAAAAAAATGCGCTTATATAGAAAAGACACCACAGACCTGTTTAAGTGTTGCTTCTTTGTGGTATCTTTTACTATACTAGCGCATTTTTTTCTGTTTACAATTCAATACAAAATTCAGGGGGAGGTACGTTAGTGCATTGAGAACAGAATAAAACGCCCCGCCGCGGTGGTCTAGTGGTTAAGCTACTCGGCAGCTGACCCGCAGGTCGCTGGATCAAATCCCGGCTGCGGCAGCTGCATTTCCGATGGAGGCGGAAATGTTTTAGGCCCGTGTACTTAGATTTGGGCGCACGTTAAAGAATCTCTGGGGGTCGAAATTTCCGGAGCCCTCCACTACGGCGTCTCTCATAATCATATAGTGGTTTTGGGACGTTAAACCCCACATATCAATCAAATCAAAAACTGGTCACGTACGTCAGGAAACCTGTTAACTCTGTCACGTGTGGCCACAGTGTGCGTGCGGCACATACGCGCCTATTGTGGCCCGCCATATACGGGTATGAGTCACATGCGACTGACAGTTTATATCAAGCTGGGAATTACGACAACATACATCCGGAATTTTGAGTTGAGAGCATGAAGAGGCCCCGTCACAGAAAATTTGACGTCCGCGTCATCGGCATTGTCGGTGAGGGAGTAACCCCGACGGACATAAAAATAAAAATCAGGAGTCAAGCCGACGTTTAATCAACGCATACTACGTCACTTCAAGTAATATAGAAATGAATTATAGTCAACTTTCATCTTTTATATCAAATTTGTTTTCGTGCTGGTATTTAGTATGCATGCATACCAACAAGGTCAAGTTCACACGTATCTCAAGCATTCTGTCACAGAGTGACGCTACCTGCGGAACCTTTTTTGGAGAACCACACTGCGAAGGAATCAGGATCGGGCGGCTTCAATTGTGTCTGTAGTGTGGGCAGTTCCATGAGCAAGGAATGTGATAAATTGTGCATACGTGTTCCTATACGGATGCTGAAGCTTATTCAGGTACTGATCACCTCGCAGGTTTATGCGTTCACTAACACTATGAATGATATGCACATATTCACACAGCAGGGTACATATCGTTTCTACTGAACTGACATCATTTTGTAACGAGAGTGTTTACTTTACGTCGGAGCCTTTCAGCTCGTGTGTAGTGGACAGGCCTGGGGAACTCACGGCATTCTTGTTGAATTCTAACGGCAGAATGTGAGTGGTCGGCCGGGTGGCTAACGGTGTCCTTAGATCTGAACGGGATTGCCCTCGCCAAATCTGTGATCGAAACGTGTGCGTCTCTAAAAGAGCAGTTGGTGAACGGAAATACAGCGAAGATGCGCGAGTGGGTGCGAAGCAATTTCCTCTTTGTTCACAGCTGCCTGCTACTGTATTCTTTCGTGATGGGATGAAAGGCTGGCGCTGAGAATGGGTCACGCGAACTTTCGGCCAAATCCGCCGATTTCGGCGCAAGAAGAATTATTGCTCCACGGAGCACTCCATGATCTGCAGCTGCTCTCAATTTGCCACTGAAATACACAAATCACGCGCCCTATCTGCCATTACAATGCGATTGATCCGTTTAGAGTTGTGAAAGTGGATGTATATCTGCCATTCGAATTCAACATAGCAAAACATTTGCACTTAAAGAAACACGCTAATTTTCCTCGCAATACTTCCACTGCTTTTAGTTAGAAATTGCAGCACAGGTAGGCACCTACACGCTGGAAGCTTCATAGTAACCCGATGCCTACAATGAATGGTATCTGCAGAACTTTGAGAGCACATATGATAGGCGACTGTTCCTGCGTTTAGTGGCGTTGCTATTGTTAGGTGCGCCGGAGGCGTAAACAATAGAGTGAACTACGACGAAAGAAAGCGAACGTTAAGTCTGCCATTATCATGAGCGGCTGGCCTCTAAAGCCTCACTTTTTTCTACAGTGACGCGAGTTGGGCCCTCGGTTGGAGCTCGAGCGCGTGCAGGCATGATGCGTGTACTGCGGCTTGTTTCGATTATTATAATAGGGCTGGTAGTGTTTCGCTTGGTTCGTGACGTCTGTGATAGACCTTTTTCACAGGCGCTATCTGCGCGTGTTCATCGGAAACGCTTCAATGGCATCCTCCCCTCCCCCCCCCCCCCAAAACATTTTTGGTGGCTCGTAGACTCCGAAACCTGTCGGCGCACCATCTCGGAGACAATGGGTGCACAGGAATGCACAAGCTTCCACGCTGTTGTGTTGGCCGAAAAGCCAGCTAATTTTCTTACTGCTCTCGCCGCTAAGGGCACGTACCTTTAGCGAAAAAGGTCGATTCGCAGACTGGCGCACCTAACACACGAGCTCCGGACATTTCAGTACTAATATGGCGCGAATGGTACACGGCCAACTCTCCGGGTAGCAAAAACCCCAAAGAAGATTGGTGAGGCCCCGGCACTAATGCTGGGTTCAGAACTTGTCTTAGGCGGTGTCGCTGTCGCCGGCAAAATATATTTTAAAGATGTTATTGTAGCGTGTATTTACCAGGGTGATCACAAGGGGTAAAATAACATTAACAATGCTATAGTGTCACACAGCTCCTTTTGCGCGAATTCCGGTGTGGGCGTAGGCGTCTGACCAAAAAATCCAGCATCCTTGCGTGACCAAAAAATCTTGAAAGATGCTAATAAAATTATTGATGGCGAATTCTGAATTTAAGCGGTAATCAAACCTGGGTCACTTTCGTGGCAAGCGGGTGTTCTACTTTGCAGCCGTGCGTCTCCTTGAGAATGCAGAAAAAATAACTTCCTCTGCTATAGCATATGCAATGAAAGTAAGTTTTATGTGTTACAAACACACATCCTGCAACACAACATAAAATATTGCCGTAATAACGCGTGATGCAAGGGTACACTGCCCTCGCACGTCAGAGCTTGAGATTATCACAATCACCTAATTGATTAGAACGAGCTACCCTATAGAAAAACACACGCACTACAGCACCCTTAAGAGCACGTACTGCTGAAAATGAGGTTACGTAGTCTAAGTAGTCCACCCACCAGAATGGGTGAAAATTGAGCCACTTTCTTGATGAAAAACATGTGTGAAAACGTCCAATGGGTAACGCGAGCGCACCCCAAAAAGACACACCCGGTCCACGCCTTGAATACTCTGCAGGGTGAGCCGTGAGAGTCCGGTAAAGAGAAAAGCTCAGCTTCTTTTAGGAGAAGATGGCCGATGACTCGAAGTCAGCAGTGATCTATGGCTGCGTTCAGGCGGAGGATTGCAGAGCACTTCTACAGGACGCCGTCTGACGCTTACGAACAGTCGGTGCTTTCTCACGACCAGGCGCAGGCGACAATGGCTCATTTGACATGTCGACTACATAGTAACTGCAACAGGGACGCTGTCTCACGCAGTTGAACCCCGCTCAACAAAACGTTGTTAACGACACTTCCATCGGGTTTCATACCCGACCCCAGTGAACTATCTGGTACACCTGCAAGACAACGTCATGCTTTGTACTTCCGACCATGCGCCGATATTGAGGTGAAAGCATTTTTGCAGACAGGTTTATGCACAGTGGCGTTTGCCACGACAAACTGCAGGACCAACGGTAACACTGCTTGTTGTCCGTTTTTCTACCGCGGAGTATACATCGGTTAAAGTTGTAGACTTGTGTTAGATATCCCTTCTAAACGATATAGCAATATAGTCGAAAAAGTGCAGAATGCGCTCCTGTATGATGTCCTTTTCTTTCTCCATTACATGAGTTTTATTCGTTTTCTATGTCGACATACAGGGAAAATGTTTTCTAATTAAGAGAAACCGAAAAGAGCTGCTTGTTTCAAAATTTAAAAATATCATTCATCTCGTTTTATTATTCAGGTACTTACGCTGCCCTCACCTCACTAAATTTTGAGAGAGAAGCAACATCCTCAATGAACGACGCAGCTCTGAGAAGTATTGGCTGCGAGGGCCTCCAATGAAGCGGATGGCTCTTCGATAGTTTTGACGTCAATGATAGAATGCTCCTGTTTGCTTTGCTGCGTAGTTGTCAAACATGACGTTCGGGTGTGATAGTGGGGCGCGGCATTCATTTCTCAGCGTGTAAAGCTTGATGTGGCCTATTGGACATATTCTTGCCATGCAAACTTTGGTAGGTTGCGTGCTTGCAGCTTTTGATAATAATTGATTTTTTGAGATTTCGCACCCCAAAACCACGTTATAATTTGAGGGATGCCGTACAGTAGAGGGTTCAGGAAATATCTATCATCTTGTGTTTTTTTTAACGTGCGCTGGCATGGCACTGTTCAAGAGCCTCCAAAATTTACCCTCCATTGAAATTGGACCACCACTGAAGGGATGAAGCCACGACGCCAGCAGCCGAGTACCGTAACCACTGCACCGAACTTTAAGCAGCTTTAGCTTGTTGGTGTACTGTTAAAGGCCTCATTGTTGAAAGTATGCGAATGATGCCCCTGCAAGTTTTCCTCATTGCGCTAAATATACGTAAGGAGCAACACTTTGCTAGTAAAACTTAAATAGGAGAATGCGCTAGCGCTAACTCATAGGTTCGCAAAAGCACTTCTGCGACGAATACTTCGTTTACGCCACCGCAACTGAGATGTTGAGTAACAGCTGACGTATGCTCACGAACG